TTTTCACTTTGAACTTAAGATACGGTCTTTTTTTCACTCAAGATTGGAATTAATCATTTATAATGCTTATCCATAAACATGAGTGTAAGAGATACTAATGGTAAAGGCAGAACAACATACACAGTAACTAGTGGTTGTAGTTAAGTGAATAAGCTTGGTTAAACTGGTGGCTGAACTCTATGCAAGGAATTCAAAACTCTACGCTGAATTGAATTCCAGATTAGTTGTTGAAATGAAAATTAAAGTCATGTGAAATGAAGTCTTCTGAATGAAATGGATAGAGTAAAACACACACTTGTTTCATGCAGTACTCACAAATCAAGAGCACTCCATGAAGAGTCTGTTAAACATTAAATTAAAATTTAGTTGAACTAAAAATGAGTAAAATGTGAAAAAATGTCTAATGTTACAGTTCATAAGATTGAGTGAACAGTTTCGAATGTACCTACTCATCATGTAGTAGTTTCTCTTTTCAAATGCATACTTCCCAGGTGTCATAAAGATGTTCAGCGAAACTTGTAACATGAAAGGTATCACTACTTCTCAGCAACTTGAATTCCGAAAGTCATGTTGGCGAAGTGTGTGATGCTTACATTAGTTTTGACACTACACGATCTAAATGAACTAATGCAATTTATGAATTATAGATACATTGATTAGTTACTGGAGAGTAATAAATTTCATGTTTTCCAGCCTGAATACTGACCGAATTCTATCGATCATTATGCAATGTGACCATCTAGCTAGGAGACTCAAGTACATGGTGCACTTTGATAGGTGCTAGTTGGACGGAGGCAACCAAAAGAAAGTCTTGTACACAGGTTTTATGTTTGTTGACATTCGTCACCATGTGTATCTGGAACTTAGTAGGTGGTCACACTGGCAAACGATTGATAGCATTCGATCACCACTCAGGACTTGACAAGATGGCATTGGCTGCCCTCCAGTGACCAACCAAGATACCTAATACCGTCCCAAGCAGAGGTCAGTCGCAGTCTGAGCAGCTCAGTGAGAGCATCCGTGACTGAGTTGCGTTTGAATCACACAGACAATATCAGTTCCGTCATGCGAAATTTTTTCCGTCAAAAAAGAAGACACTCAAATAACCGACAAACTTTTTATTTTGACCAAGTTTTAAAGCTATGTTAATGGTGGACAGTAGCTAGCGGTGGAATCCAGGATGTGCGTTTCGTCCTATTTGGGACTAGTCAGATGAGTGTGCCCGCCTCCTAATGAGTGATGTTATCCCCACTAGACCACGTACCGGGGACCGATCGCTCCAAATGCCAAAGTGATATCCACCAGACCACCAGGCCACGATAGCCCTTTTTTGTGCGACGGATGCATTCTTACTGTTTTGTTTATATTAGCCCGTCGTTGAGAAGGTCGAATCGACCGGCCTCTGTTGGCATATGGAGCAGTCGGTTCCGAGTTCGAAGCATAGTGGAAACAGCATCGCTCGCTAGGAGACAGATACACCCAGTTGATGAGTACCAAACAGAACGGAACACACATCTTGGAATCCACTGCAAGCCACTATCCATCATTAACATATAATTCAAACACGGGCAGTATCGAGGCATCCACGTAGGAGTCCATATGTCAATACAGACCGATCAGTTTGGTCCATTCATTATGGGATAATACTACCAACATCATTAAAGCTTCAAAGCGTTAAGAAAAGAAAAGATGGTGAATGAAGACTGCAGTGTATTTCTTTTTGAATTATGTGAATATTAGATATTACGCGCATATAAACGTCGTAACAACACTTGATACTACTGGCTTTCGAGTTGTGTCAAATATGCATGCACCTACGGCTATCTATAAAAATGAGTATACCAAAGTCTATAAGAACACAAAAAATGAACCTG